GTGCTATCAAACGTCACAACGTAACTGGGTGATTATAAAGATGATCTATAGGTGTCTCCGAAGGTGTATGTTGGGTTGGCATAGATCAAGATTAGGATTTTTCATTCCGTGTATCGAAGAGGTATCTTTGGGCCCTCTAGGTAATGCACATCACAGTAAGCCTTGCAAAGCAATGTGACTAATGAGTTAGTTGCGGGATAATGCATTATGGAATGAGTAAAGAGACTTGCCGGCAACGAGATTGAACTAGGTATGATGATACCGACGATCGAATCTTGGGCAAGTAACATACCGATGACAAAGGAAATGACGTATGTTGTTATGCGGTTTGACCGATAAAGATCTTCGTAGAATATGTCGGAACCAATATGAGCATCCAGGTTCCGCTATTGGTTATTGACCGGAGATGTGTCTCGGTCATGTCTACATAGTTCTCGAACCCGTAGGTTCCGCACGCTTAACGTTCCATGACAATTTGTATTATGAGTTATGTGTTTTGGTGACCGAAGTTTGTTCGGAGTCCCAGATGAGATCATAGACATGACGAGGAGTGTCAAAATGGTCGATAGGTAAAGATTCATATATTGGAAGGTTATATACGGACACCGGAATGGTTCCGAACAGGTCCGGGGATTTTTCGGAGTACTGAGAGGTTGCCAGAACCCCCCGGGAAAAGTTAATGGGCCTCATGGGCCATAGTGGAGAGGAGGAGGTAGGCCACGGGAGGTGGCACCCCCCCTTGCGGATCCGAATTGGACAAGGGGTGGGGGTGCGGGCCCCCTTTCCTTCTCCCTCTCCCCTCTTTCCCCTTTCCCCCTCTCCGTTGGAAGGAAGGGGGCGAATCCTACTAGGAGTGGAGTCCTAGTAGGACTCCCCCCTTGGCGCGCCTCCTCATGGCTGGCCACCTCCTCCCCCTCTCCTTTATATACGGGGGCGGGGGGCACCCCAAAGACACATCAATTGTTCTCTTAGCCGTGTGCAGTGCCCCCATCCAAAGTTTACTCCTCCGGTCATAGCATCATACTGCTTAGGTGAAGCCCTGCGCAGATCACATCACCATCACCGTCACCACACCGTCGTGCTGACGGAACTCTCCCTCGACCCTCTGCTGGATCAAGAGTTCGAGGGACGTCATCGAGCTGAACGTGTGCTGAATACGGAGGTGTTGTACGTTCAGTACTAAGATCGGTTGGATTGCGAAGACGTTCGACTACATCAACCGCGTTTACTTAACACTTCCACTTTCGGTCTACGAGGGTACGTGGACACACTCTCCCCCTCTCGTTGCTATGCATCTCCTAGATAGATCTTGCATGATCGTAGGATTTTTTTTTTGAAAATGCATGCTACATTCCCCAACAATTATGCAGCGAAGAATGGATACGTGCGGCGCCTTGTGGTCCTTCATCTCCTTCCCCCACATGTAGGCGTACCTCGTGACGAGGTCATTTTTGTCCAACACTGATGATTGGAAGATGGCATTTCCCCCCGCCGCGCCGCCATGCCTTCCCTCCTCTTCTCCGCCTCCGGATCAACCGACTTGTTTTGGGCCTTCTTCGGTGCCATGACGGCTTCAAGGGAGGTGGATTTGGTGGCGGATGAAGGCATAGTGCGACAGTAGTGGAGAGCTCTACTTTGCGCAAGGAAGAAAATGACAACGACAGTGAGATTGGGAATGGCAGAAGTGGATGAGCAGCGCCTTCGCAGATGCCTTTTTTATGGGAAAGGCGTGGGGGCTGGTTCTTCGCGGTCAGACGTGTCTGCACTTTTTCAGGCGCACACCCTCAGTCTGCTGTTTCGCTCCACCTCTCCCACATCCTGCATTTAATGCTCATCGTGGGCGTGCAGTAAAAGTGATGATTATGATAGTTATCTTCTACCACGCGTCTGTGTGTTGTTTTGGGCCTAGCCCAACAACGTCGCACAAGCGTGTGTAGTCCAGCCCCGGGGGCTCCTGTTGGTGTATAAAAACATGGGTGTTTCCATACCCTGAGTTATGCACAGACAGTGGCAGCCTCCTCGGCGGCAAGGGCTTGACGAAGGATGGCTCTGATCAACACCCAAGACTTGGGGTTGTTAAAACCATGAAGAAGACCTTTAGGCAGGTGATCGAGAAGTACTAAGGTAGTACTGAAGATCAAGATTCAGGTTGCCAGCAAGCAACACACCGACAAGAGAGGACCCATCAAGCTACGTGCCGGCAAGCTACCTCTGCCTCTCCACCGCTCCACCTCACCGACCAGCTAGTCACTTGTCAATAGGTGTCGAGCAGACATGTGGTTAGGTGAGCCTTGTCGGGGCAAGCGTGAGCAAGCCACCTAAAGATCAACTTTAATGACACCCGTCCCATGGGCATGGCAAAGGAATATGAGGTAGCTGGGCGGATGACACAAAAGGAGAGACAGTCCCTTGCCGGAGCTCACCCCATCACGACACCTCACGGCGCATTTATTGCTTTTATCCTAATCCGGCATGGTTAGGTATGATAGCAATGTAGCCACTATTCACCATATGTAATTACTACTTTGCCATTAAGGTGACCCATTAATCTATAAAGGGAGGCCCATAGCTATCTTTACAAAGGTCGACACTTTGCTCAATTACGCGGTAGTTGCACTTCCCGCGCACCTTGCCGGCGAGCTGCGCTCTCTTGTAATCTGAGCTCATACACATCAATCCACCAAAGAAGGAGTAGAGTTTTACACCTCATGGTGGCCTGAACCTGGGTAAACTCTGTGTGTCTCTGTTGGATCTGCTCTTTGTGCATTGTTGATCCCCACAGCCAAACCGCAAAGGGGCCTTTGCCGGTCCCATAGATTGTCGTACCTCGACACAGAGCAATAAAATTCCTTGAAGTACCCACCCAACGAGCATAAACAAGCTTATCATACCCATGTGCAGAGAATTTCCTAGAAACAAATAACAACACAATGCCGTTCTGCAATTTGTCATGTAGCTGAATATTGTCGAGCATTTGAATTTAAACCACGAACATTCCAGCAAAGCACCTTTCAAAGCACATTAGTATGTTTTTTAGAACGAAGGCTCGCGAAGAGTCCGGCTTTGAATTAACGAAGCCAACAACCGGCAAAGGAGATTACAACCCGACTTACAAGCAACAGTAACTGGTACAATGGGGACGAACTGGAAAGCAAATCCAATCTACCCGAGAACAAGCTGCCAAAACAACTTGCAAGAGGCAGCACACTCCACACTAGGATCATAGAAACAAGCCTGAACAAACAAAGCAGACAACACCGACCGTCGAGGAAGGACCGTGCTCGAGAAGCACTTCGGGAAGGAGGAAAACCAAACATCTTCCTTCTCTGGCACCGAAGGGGGTCCCTACCCCCTCGCCATGGCTCGTGGCGCCGTATTGTTGGGATCCAGAGAAAGCTCACCCGAGAGCTGGAAGACAGTTGCCCTCGCTTGGCTAGGTGACCACCGGGAGATCACCTCAATTTGGGAAGTGCCTGTCGGTTGCACCGCCACAGGAATACACCCAACTAGTTGGAGAAGATTGCTTTAAGTCGTCGAACGCCGAAGGGGAGGCAGCACATCCCCACCCTTCACCTGCAGACCCTCCCATCCGAACCCAATGTCGTTGGCGACGCCTATAGGAAGGTTACGGTGCACAAGGCGCCGCCGACGCCCGACCGCATCGGATCTTGGGTTTTCAGCCGGACATGGGTCGGAGTGGAGAAATGGTGTCCTCAGCAGCGCCCCCAAGGAGGAAAGCGGTGCCAAAAGGCGGCGTCGCCGCTGCCGGCCAGCCAAGCCGGCCAAGGTTTCCCTCGGGCACCGGTGTGCTCCACCAGAACACGCCGGAGGCGGATCCGGCAAGATCCAAAGCAACACCGGGGTCTGGGAGGGGAAGCATGGAGGGGAGGGGGCAATACCTTCAGATCTGGCACGGGGAGCTCCGCACTGCGCTCGACCACCACATGCGGCCCGCCGTCCTCACGCCTGAGCCCTCAGGCCAGCCGTCCGCCTGCGCAAGCCGCCGGTCGCACGACGGCGCCGCCACGCCAGCAGGGGCCGGCGCCCTGGATCCGAGAGCCTTCGCGAAGAAGGAGCGCCAAGGACCCCGCCGCCACCTTCCCGGCGCCCCCACGGGCTTTCCCGACGATCGTCTCCAGTGGCCGCGAGGAGGAGCGGGGGAGGGGTGGCGGCGGAGGCTAACCCTAGTCGCCCCGAGTCGCCCTAGGGGCGACGCGAGGGACGGAGGAGGGGGAAGCCTGCCAATTTGAATGATCTCACGGTCTAGACTAGCTAGAACTCCACACAATCGCACATTAGTATGTTGAGAAAAGCATAAACAAGGGACGCGGAGTTTTGGCTCCCGAGCTCATCTGCACCCACGCTCAGAAAAAAATACTAGAAAAATTAAAAAAAAATCCAATTTTTTTGTGTAGTAGATAATTTGACGCATGAGGTCCGCTCTAAATTTCAACTCATTTGAGCATCTGAGTAGCTCTCGGCAAAAAAGACAAAATCGGGGTCTGTAAAAATGTTCACTGTTCACGGACTGTTTTGACCCGATTTGTCTTTTTTGCCGAGAGCTACTCAAATGTTCAAATAAGTTGAAATTTGGAGCGGATCTCACGCGACAAATTATCTATCACACAAAAAATTTTGAATTTTTTGAATTTTTTATTATTTATTTTGATTTTGTTTCTGAGCGGGAGCAGATGAGCCTGGGCACCGAATTGGATATCCGATAAACAAGAAGTTATATAAAATTTACTCATAACAAAAAAGATAAAGATGGTGAAAAGAAACTAATAAAAAGGGGGAAATCCTTACCAAAAAGGTGAGTGACCATAGAAATTGAGAATGCCTAGACCAGCAAGCAAACACATACTACCACAATATATACAGTGTATATATAAATGCGTCCACTTATTGCGCCCCTCTTCTTCGCGTTTCTTCCCCCCACAGTCTCTTTTACTCTCCCCTTCTCCTTCCCCAAGCCAAGCAAAGGCAGCAGAGGCCAAGAAATGGGCGACCGGGCGTACGGGCCGTCCTCCAAGCCGGTCCCTGTGGCGGCACCGCGGTCCGCCAACGGCACGGCGAACGGCGGCGGTGTAGGGACACCTCGGCCTCCGTCCATGGTGCCCGGTCGCGTCCCGCCGCCGCCGATGTACCGACCAAAGCCGATGCAACCGCCACCGGGCCGTCGGCGGAGCGGGCGCGGGTGGTGCTGCGCGTGTTGCCTGTGGCTGACGCTGGTGTTGGTGGGGCTGGTGTTCCTTGGAGCAATAGCGTTGGGGGTGTTCTACGTGATTTACCACCCGGAGCTTCCGACCTTCGCCGTGACGTCGCTCCGTCTGGCGGCGCTGAACGTCTCCGACTCCGACTCCGTCACCTCCCGCATCGAGTTCACGGTGACCGCGCGCAACCCCAACGAGAAGATCGCGTTCGTGTACGGCGACATCGGGGCTGCCTTCGCGGCCGACGGCACGGACATCGGGGACGGCACCGTGCCGGGCTTCCTCCACCCCAGCCGCAACACGACGGTCATCAAGGGGTCGGCTTCGGCGGCCGCCGCGACGGTGGACCCGGTGCAGGCGGCCAGTCTCAGATCCAAGAAGTCCCATGCGATGTCAGTGGAGATGGACTCCAAGGTGGGTTTCCAGATCGGGCAGTTCAAGTCGAAGCGCATCAGCGTCCGTGTGCTGTGCGGTGGCTTCAGCGCGGGGCTGGCCAAGCCGGCGCCCTCCCCGGCGCCGATCATCGTGGCCGCGGCGCCTGCGCCGACCCGGTCAAAAATCAGGCTGTCGTCGTCTTCCACCGGAGGCGGCGGGTCGGCGACGACGGACGCAAAGTGTAAGCTCCGCGTCAAGATCTGGATTTGGACGTTTTGATGCATCTGCGGGTAGGGAGAGGAGGGATTTTTTTCGGTTTGGTTTAACCTTTTTCACACTGTATGTGGATTTATTGGAGTATAGTCTATATGATTTTATCTTCCTCTTGGTTGCTTCTTGCTACTCTCATTCATCCTTTCTTTGTCACAAGCAAAAACAAGCCAAGTACGCTGCATAGATCTATGCTACAGTCGGGCATAATTCTGCAAGAAGGGTATAGTAGTACTACTAGTTAACGACACCACAGTGAAACCTGCAGCCGAGAAGAAATGGAGGTGAACTGGGTACGCAAGCGAGCGATTCAGCGCACGCGCGTCGGTGGCGTCAACAGAAGCGGGCGATCTCCAGCTCGATTTCCTTTTTGGTTTCTCTCCCTACCGTTTCCACAATCTCTCTTCTTCTCTCATCCGGGGAACCGGCCGGGCACAGCTGTACCTTGGCTGGCAGCCGACGCCGACGCCGACGCCGACGTGCGGGCCCATCGGCTTCCGGGACAGCATATAGTAGTGAACTGTGGATAGGCGGCTGGGCCTGGAAAGAAAAAAAATGCCGTTGGTTTGTGCGTGGCGAGGCGATATGACGTGTGTCGGGGAAAGGATGAGGGAGAGAGAAAGGGTGGACGTCACTCTCGCTCCAGTCCAGTGCCTTTGGCTCGGCTCGGCAGTGCAGCAGGGGTCTCCCTAGTCCCAAGTGAACAGTGACAACCGCTGAGTGCTCATAGTGGTAGTACAATCCGAGAGAGAAGAGCTGATTTTTATTTTATTTCAAGAATTCCAGAAGAAAGGAGATAAGGGACAGATGATTAGTCAGTGAGAATTGCTAAGCGCAGTGGACCACGTGAGGTGTGAATGCTGGGTAGGCGACCTCGCCGAGATTTGCTAAGCGCACATGAGTCGCATACGCCATACATAACGGTTACATAATCATCTGTGTAGTTTCTTAATCAGTACGGTTGGCGAGCAACGGAAGAAGCAGGATGATAATAGGGGTATGCACGGCTTGTGCAGTACTCTCTCCGTTCACAATTTTTTTTCTAAGCGTAGTATAGACGCTGACGCTCATATATATGCACATAAACTCATTTCTATCAACACGCACACACACTCTATCTTTATAAATACCTTCGAGAGACTAAGCAGGAACATAATCTTGAGATTGATGAAGTTATCACAAAAGCCCTCGTAGTCGACGGGAATGTTTACTCACATTAAACGCACATCGCCGGAAGGCCTGAAATAAATCCTTAAAAATACGAGCATCAATGTAAGTCTAGAACTTGAACTGTCGCAGTCTATAGATACCACTTTCTTTCTAATCATCCAATCATATGTTGGTTCGTATTCCTCCGTTCATGATCTAGAAACAAAAAAGTTCAATAATAATGTAAGATGTTCTTGTTTCTAAAATGTAAGATGTTCTTGTTTTTAAATTAGATGTATATAGACATGTTTTAGTTTGTTTGTGCATCTATTTTAATATGTATGTAATTCATATTGAAATATCTAAAACATCTTATAATTTGACACGGAAGGAGTAGTTGTTAAGGCAGTTTTATCTTAAATATGCCATATAATCTAGAGAAGACAGTGAAATGTTATATCCACTGAGTTATTTTCTAGTCTTATACTATCCCGTAGTTAGATATCTATAACAAATGGTAAGAGATACTGTTGCTAGAAGACAAGCTTTTTCTCCCTTCATATTTATCTTACGTGTCGTTTCTAAGATAACATCATAGTATATATCTAATCTAAAACGAGGCAATAAGATAACATCATAGTATATATCTAGTCTAAAACGAGGCAAAGATATTGCGTTGTTTTTTCTTAAAATCATAGTACGGACGTAGACGCCCACGAACACGTTCACTGACCGCCTACCACTAAAAAATATTCCACCTTTATGAGATACCAAAGCATTAGATCTAGGGTTTGATCCCTAATAGGTTGAGTCATTGCCTTCCTAACCATTCAAACACAGATTGATTCGCAAGATGCTGCACTGTCGGTAGTAGTAAACAAAAACAGGTCGTACAGCCGATCGTCAGTTGACACGGAGCTTGATCGAAGTATAGTTAAATGTATTTATGTGTTTTCTTCCCTTCAACTACAACAACATTCGTTAGGGAAAATCCAACGCGGATCACCAAATTGCCCCCAAATGTCCCGACTGAACAACCCAGGTGTTTTTTGCCTTCCAATGGTGGTCACCAAAATTGCTTGGACTAGGCCGCATGTCTGAAATCTTGTAAACCGGCACCAAACCGGGGGTTGTGGAGTCTGAATGTCTGTCACGTTCGACTACGTCACTCCTAACCCACCCAAAAACCCTACTCGAAGCCCTTCCTTTGCATTATTTATCCGCAACCTTGGAGACCGACGTCACCGCTATACCACGTTGGCCGCCGCCCAGGCCTTGCCGGACCTTCGCCGCTCCACCCAGGCGCCTGCTCGCCTTGGAGTACGCCGTCGTTCCACCCCGGATCCAGCTATACCCCAGGTATCCCCAGCTCCCTACCTGCATCGTCCATGCTGGACACCATGTCTGACAAGTTTTCAACCAAATTACATTTTTTTTGACTTTCCGTTTAATTTGAAGCAAAAACGATGGTTTCGAACCAAGAGTGCTTCAAAGTTGAGTTCACGGTTTTGTCTTTGTCACATGGGGAGGAGGAATATGGCGATGATGAGTTTGTAGGATCGAAAGTAGATCTAGAGGTGGGGGGGTGATTAGACTACTTGACCAAATAAAAATCTAACTTTTTCTCAATTTTAGTTATGGGCAGATTTTAGCAATTAGCACAAGTCAAGCAATCAATCTACACATGCAATTTTAAGAGTGTAGCAGCGGAAAGTAAAACATTGCATATGAAGGTAAAGGGAAGGGTTTGGAGAGTGCCAACGCAATGGAAACACGGAGATTTTTGGTGTGGTTCTGATAAGTGATGCTATCGTACATCCACGTTGATGGGGACTTCAACCCACAAAGGGTAACGGTTGCACGCTTCCACGGAGGGCTCCACCCATGAAGGGTCCACGAAGAAGCAACCTTGTCTATCCCACCATGACCATCGCCCACGAAGGACTTGCCTCACTTGGGTATATCTTCACGAAGTAGACGGTCTCCTTGCCCTTACAAACTTCTTGGTTCTACTCCACAACTTGTCAGAGGCTCCCAATTGACACCTAACTAATCTAGGAGACACCACTCTCCAAAAGGTAATAGATGTTGTGTTGATGATGAACTCCTTACTCTTGTGCTTCAAATGATAGTCTCCCCAACACTCAACTCTCACAGATTTGTATATGGTGGAAAGATGATTTGAGTGGAAAGCAACTTGGGGAAGGCTAGAAATCAAGATTCTTGTGGTAGGATTGGTATATCTTGATCTCAACACATGAGTAGGTGGTTCTCTCTCTCTCGGAAAATGGAAATGTAGGCACATTCTGATGGCTCTCTCACAAATGGAGGAGGGGGGTATAGGGGTATATATAGCCTCCACACAAAATCAAACCGTTACACACATTTGACCCAACTCGGTTAGACCGAATAGATGAACTCAATGAGACCGATTTAGTTCAAAATGTGAGCGTTAGGAATCTCGGTGGAACTGACTGGAACAACTCGATGGGACCGATGTGCTAGGGCTTAGGAAAAACGTCAACTCGGTGGCACCGATTGCATCATGTCGGTGAGACCAAAGCGAAGCAATAGGGCAATAGAGAAAATGTCAAGCCAACTCGGTGAGACCGATCACTATTCCGGTGAGACCGAAATAATTCCAGCATTCAACAAAGAATTGGCAAGGCCAACCGTATCGATGTGACCGAACTGTTTAGTGTTTCTTGTTGTGGCTATGTCATATGAACTCGGTGGCTCCGGATGGAATGAATTGGTGGGGCCAAGTTGGAGTTTAGGGTTTTGACATATTTGGAATGAGAAAGTGGTTGAGGGATTTGGAGCAATATCACTAAGCATTTGAGCAAGCAAGCCATTAAGCAACACCTCATCCCCTTTTAATAGTATTGGCTTTTCTATGGACTCAATGTTATCTTGGACCACTAAAATAGAAATGAATAGTCTTGAGCTTTTGCCAATATGTGTCCTTAGCATTTTGAGGGGTCCACGTCTCTAGTCTATGCCATGCCATTCATTGAACTTTCTAAAATATTAAACTTGAATGGATATTAACTCAATGAGCTATCTGTTGTTATGAATTACCAAAACCACATGGGGATTAGTTTCACTTTCAATCTCCCCCTTTTTGCTAATTGATGACAACATATAGATCAAAGCTTCGACAAATGATAATATGAATAAAATACATCGTCTCTTTGAGAAGTATGTGATAAGCAAGAGCTCCCCTAAAATTTGTGCATTATTTAAAATTTGCGTTTGAATGCAAATGCACAATCGATTAGGATCATGGGTCACTCTTCCATGTCACATACATCTTGGTAGAGCGCACAAAATGATAAGAATTAAATAACATGCACTCATCAACAAAGATACAACTGATTGATCATACACAAACATTCATAGATATAATAATGCAAGCACACATTCAACATAGTATGATCAAACACATGATCGCACAAGGTATCTCACGGGCATAACATAAATGTAGCATCAAGTAGCAACAACCAAACCAAAGTAGCAAGGCGAATGAAACCAACAAAAGCAAAAGACACTCTCTCTCAAAGCCTGTAGCGACCAGACCTCAAACAGTCTGATCTCTATGCTCAGGAGTCATCCCTGTATCAGTAATGCTGACACCACACAATACTTGAAGGATTTATAACAGAGTAGTAATCACACACTTATTACATCGAGTGTCTCAATGGAGAGCTAATTACAATAAATATGGCTTAAGGCCATCTAATAACGATAACAGCGGAAGGCTTGGAAAATAAGTGAGTCCATCAACTCCAACGGCATCACTGAGTATAGAACCACGACCTAAAAACTCCTTAATCATCGTCTGAAAAGTCTGCAACATT